CAGCTCTGGGCTGGGGTTCACACGGCATGTCTACCCTCAGCAGGACCTAATGCTGCCCCTGAGCCGTGGTGGTGGGGATAGCAGTGCTGATGTGCTAGTGATCGTGCCCATGGCAGCTGCAACAGCAAACACCTGCTCTATATTGTCATGGGAACTGGGCTTGGAGGTGCTCTCGGGCTATCTCCTAGAGTTTTCAGTGATGATGACAGAAACAGTCTGTATCTGAACCATTGGCCAACTCGAGGTGCTGAGTGCTTAAAATGTGGCTAGTGCAACTAAGAAGCTAAATCTTAATTATATCAATTCATATAAATAGTCTCATATGTCTAATGGCTCGTCTTAGACAGCAATTGCTTTCTATGCTTTGTCTCCGAGTCCTCATTACAAGCCAATAAAGTGTTAGCACTCCCATTCTGTACACAAAGAAATTGAGGCTTAATGGGGCTAAGTCATTTATATAAAAGACTCAGCTGGATTTTGGCCCAGGTCTGTCTGGCCTCCAAATCCACAGCTTTAAATGCATTATCCTGCCTGGTGACCCTATCTGCTTTAGATGGAGGCAGGGCTAGTACAAGGTCACACACTTTCTCCAGACCTGGGGTGTGAGTGATGCTGTATCAGTCAGCCCCTCCTCCACTGGCTGGTTGTTGAGATGGCAGTAGACCCACATATAGTGGCCCGTGTACCCATAGGAACTCCCCTACCTCAAACCCCCCCAACCGTGTGTTGGTCACAGGGCATCCTGCTTATAACTGATGGTGGCTGCATCTCTTTGTTTGTTCAGATTCCATTGGAATGAACTGTGGCCAGGGCCATGGGGAATGTTTTCCTTGGCTGATGACAATGTGTTTTCACACTTTGCTATGGGAAAGCTGTCAGGGAGCTCAGTATTGAGGAGTGTTTTGGACAGGTGAGAAACTTCAAACTAGTTGCCTCTGGTTGCCGACATGAGAACTCTTACAACTTGTCACTTGGGTGGCTTCCTCTGACTGTTTTCCTTTGTTTGAAGGCTTCTGCAGGCAGTAGACCAACAGTATGAGGAATGTGCCTCAGGGAGAATGGGTGCTCCAGCCTCATCACACTTTTATAGCCTTACTGTCTTGGCACATTCTCTTCTCGTATGATTTCTGATATGGCTGGGTCCGAGTGGAGAGTTAGTAAAGGGCTCATCTGAAACAAAATGTCTGGGGATGATTTTCACTATCTTTGGCCATACTATGGCTAGTTATTTGTTTTAACTTTTTCTTTTTGGTACCAGGGATTGAAGTCAGGACCTTGTGCTTGCAAGGCAGGCGCGGCACCACTGAACTAAATCATCAGCCCTGTTTTAACTTTTATTGTTGTTCCCCCACATTATACTATATAATGTCATTTTAGGTTTTCTAGGAACCTAAAAATTATTCTCATAGAAGAGATTCTAAAGATGGTAGTATTTTAGAAAGGGCTCTCTTTCAAGGCTGTGATCTTGGCTTATTATGGGTTTTTTAATCAGGTCATGACAGATGGGGCTGTACCTCAAGGTATGTCAGTTTTATTGACCAGAATATTGCATGTGTCAGCTTCCCAAAGCTTGGGTGGTTCTTAAGAGCAGGAACAGAATGTTCTGGCTTTCCCTGCACAGACACAGAGTTTCTGGTCTAGTGGGAATTAATTAGAACATTCTTTTAGTTACTGTAAATACAAGAAGGTATAGGTGTGGTTCTGTCTTCCTGAGCTTAGGAGCAAGCAAGGTGGGGGGAATCAAGCCCTGCACCAGGGCTAAGGGCTTGGCTTGTTGGACTGTGCAGCCTTAGAATGCTAAGCAGGTGGATGGCATGCCATTCTCTGTCCACACAATCCCACGCGTTAGAGCAGAAGGGGCCGTCAGGTCATTCTGTCTTGGGGCTGCATACTTGCTGCTCTTAGGGGTCATGGGGCATCCAAAGGGAACCAAGTAGGCTAGGCTAAGCAGGGCAGCAGTGGCAGCAGGTGCTGGAGACCAGCATTCTGCTGTGATGTCAGAGTGATACTGGATTTGGGAGAGATGGGGATCAGAGAACTGGAAAGGGCAAGCCTGTCTGTGGTGGAGGTAGGCACACCTGAGCCCCAGCCAGTGCTGCCATTCTTCTCATTCTGCAGGGAATGTAGGACCTGACTTCTGAAATGCTGACAACTAATTAAAGCCACCAAAGTACAATATGGGGCATCACTTACTGCTGCATAAAACATGTCCATGGGCTGAACACTGTCCCTGGGCTACCAAGATCCAGTGGGGGAACTGAGGTAAAGAGCTGGTAATTATTTGCATTGCCATAGCTTCCCCAGATAGTCAGCTTTTCCAGGTTGCCAGGATGTCTTGGCTGTTCTCATTCTGTGTACTTGGCTCACAGGAAGGACTTGTTAAGGACCATGGTCAGGGGACTGAGCTTGGGAATGACCCTGATCTTTCTCTGGAGGAAGGTTTATCTACAGGGGGAAGATGCCAACATCTTTCTTGGGAAACTGAGGTTAGAGATTTGAGGTGAATTTTGAGAACTGAGGCAGGGTACCCTCTGGACAATAGCTGAGACTGTGGGTTTTGAGGCTAGAATGATTGGACCGAATCTCACCTCTGCCATCTTCTAGTTCTGGGACTCTGAGCAAGCTGCTTACTTTCTTTGAGTCTCAATTTTCTCACTACTACAATGAAGGCAGTAGTCCCTACTGGAAAGGGAAGTCATAGGACTCCACGAGAGATTGTATGTGGAGTGCTGAGTACCATGCCTGGCATAGCTATGGCTTTTATTGAGAGCTTACTATTTCTACTAGTAGGAATAGTTATAATGCGACTGGGGAGAGAGATGGCTGATTATCCTCATTTCCAAGATGTCATGGTATGGGACTTTGATGGACAATTATCCTCCTTGGGCTGACAGCAGGGCTTAGGACCCAGACTTGGGAGAATAGAAGAGCATCACCCACTCCCAGCATCAGAAGCTTCAGCAGCTAATGGAGTTTCAGCCACAGGTATAGTCATTGCTTGGCTGGTCTGCTGGCCGAGGCTCCAGGCTGCCAGCCCTCTGGAAGTTTATACTAGCACCTGACCTGATGGGAAGAAAACCCAAGGAAAATCCTCCAACACATAGCCTAGTGCACAGGGAGGCCCATGCTGGACTCTCAGCTCCCAGAAGAGGGCCTTCTGTCTGCTGTCCAGGGAGGCTTTCAGCTATGTGGGCTGAGGCTAAACTCCCCCTCCAGGGCCAACATTTTTCCACAATGACCTGCATACTAATAAAAACAATCCCATTAGTCCTCCAGAGGCCTCTAATGTGCATTTTAATAAGAATGAAAATCATGGATAATGACAGTGTCTACTATCATTAACATCATTGTGCGTTGTGTTACTGGGTGGAGAGAGCTCTCACTTGGGGACACTCTTAGTGCTGCAGACTTTCCCATGAGGAAGTAGGCCAGCATGCCTCCCCTTTTTCTCTCCAGGTGAGGCTCAGAGGCACCCAGGTGTCCCGCAGGAGTAGGAAAGCCTTCCCACCACTGCTGACCACAGCAGGCTGTCCTGGTCCCCCCTGGGCTAGTTAGTGCATCTAATACCCTTAGGCCTCATGCCTAAGAACTCAGCTTCAGGAGCCAGAGAGCCTAAGCTCTGCTACATGACCTGGTCACAACCGAACCTCTCTGTGCCTACCTCATGAAGTCATTAAGAGGATTAAATGAGTTAACACAGAAATTGTGCATCAAATAGTGCCCCAGCAGGAAGCAAAAGCTCCATAAATACTAGTTTTTATTAACAATCAATATTATTTGTAGTATTACGAGGTTGACCATACAAAATTGCTGGCTTTTGACCCATAAAAATGGCAATTTCACATGATCATTGCTTCTTAACTGGGGAGTGATAGTTTTAATTGCTACAACTGAAGAGATGGTGATACTGTCATCTACTGGGTAAGATTGCTAACATCTTCAGCACATAGATCAGCCCCCAAACAGAGTCCTCTAGCTCCAAATATCCACAGTGCCAAGGCTGAGAATAGGTCTACCTAATAGTATTCAACTATGCATAGATGATCCTAAAACATCTTTTCCCAAAACATATATGGCTCCCACTGCTGGGAGGATAAAGTCTTACTTCTGACAGGCTCTGACTTCCAACCTCATATCCTTCTGTCTCCCTGTTGTAGCCCCCAGACCTGTAACAGCCACCCTCCCCGACTGGCGCTCCAGGTCTGGAGCAAGCTCTCTGCTTGCCACATTCATGAAGCCTGTCACCTGCTCAGGGAAGCTTCCCTTGAGTGCCTTTCTTCCCCAACCTGGCTGACCATGGCAATCACTGGTGGCTTTTAGCCAACCTGATTTCCAGTCCTACTCCTGGAGGTTCTGACTCAGTAAGTCAGGGATGAGAGTCAGTAGTATTTTAAGAAGCCCACACAAGGCTGGTGCTCCACAGGCCAGGAAGCCATCTTGCTTATTTATACATTTATATATTGATGCACTTATACATTGCTCCTTGCTCTGCGATCACTTATGTATATGAGTACTTTGCATGTACTTCCATGAAAATCTGCTGGAGTGGAGAAACCTCATGTAGGACACTTGGTCATTCAAAGGTACCCAGCTCAGTGCCTTGACCTCTAAGAACTCCAAAGAGTGAATTTAATTCTAGTCCAGGAATTTTCCAATTTGGCTGAATCCAGGAATCACACCAGCTGCTTGGTAATAAGCAGAGCCCAGGCTCCCCATGTTAGTTAAGAGCCACCAGTGATTGCCATGATCAGCCAGGCTGGGGAGGAAAGGTGCTCAAGGAAAGCTTCCCTGAGCAGGTGACAGTCTCCATGACCCCAGAATCTGGTTTTAAACCAGCTAGCTTTAAAGCAGGTGCCCTTGGCCCACTGCTCTGATCCTCCTACATGCTGAATTCCAGCGCTCTTAGGAGTCTCTAGCAAGCCTTGTGGAAGCAAATTCTCTTCTAATTAGGTGCTGAACAATCCCCAGCCCAGAACCCCAGTACACTAAGGGACACTTACACACATGCTGGCTTGTCCTCCTGCACCAAAAACCTGCAGGTTCCATGGAAGCAGAACTGAGTGTGGGAATCTGGACATTCGTTAAAATGTGATACCACTGCTGCGGCCACAGGCGGTTCTGCTGGGGAGAAAAGAAACAGTGGGTTCAGACAAAGGCATAGCTGCCCTATGTGTCCCCATGACCCTTACCCCACCAGTTAAGAATGGTAGAGCCCCACACTGGACGTGGTGGCACACACCTGTAATCCCAGCACTTGGGAGGCTGAGGCAGGA